CCCCTGGACTTGAACTGGATTGGTCTTAACCACTTGTACAAATGTGTTATCCATTTCTTAACAACAACTCAAAATGTGAAGCTGTTCCTCTCGACACATCGTCTACATCAACGCACTTCTGAAGGCGGTGTTTTTAGTCTTGCTAATCCATCCCAAAGGCTTCTGTACTTTGATTTATGCCATGGTCGAGTGCTATAGCCACCCTCGAGGGGATCAAATTCTGTTTCTCTTCCATGTTGTTGAGTTTGGGGAACAAAACTGAAGTCTGTGGAGGAAAGGCCAGAGCTGTAGGGTTGGTAGTGGGTAAGGCTCCCCATGAAATTCTTGGAGGACAGCCCTTGGTATCCTTGAAGAATCAGCAGGTGTCATTTTTGTGATGGGAAAAAATTCTTTGGGACAGCTTTCCTCCCTGCCCTTTTCGCATCGATGCCATGTTCGCGTTCTTGGGAAGCTTTTTCATGACAAGCCCGTCCGTGTGGTCATCCTATGTCTTTTGGGAAATTCTATCAGGATGACCCTTTTGGAGCCCACCCCAAACAGTCATGATAACCATCTGTGCCGACCCCTCTGCCGTGGTCTCACTGGCCCAGCAGATCCCCTCTCCAACCACTGTTTGGATCGGGCCTTGCTCTCTGGATTGTACTGGTGAATCCAAGGCTCATTCCTGGTTCTTAATCTTTCTACAAAATGGTCTTCATTAGCTTCACTCTTGCTTAAAAAGGCTGACGGGAAGGTCAGGTCTTTGGGCCGGCTGATTCTTGTATGACTCTTCAGGCACATAGTGAACCCAACATATGTGCTTAACATTGGAAGTGCGGAACCATGTGAGACCCCGACTTCAGGAGCTCTCACACCCAGGGTCGTTCCACGGCCTTCTCCTGCCAGTTTCTGGACTCCCGCCAGTGTCTTGGTGAGGCTGCAGGTCCTCCCTCTGGTGGGCCACTGTGGACATTTTCTCCTCCCTCCTTCCACCAGGTAACTTCTGTTGGCTTAGTGAAGCACGCCCAGCTACTTGCTACAAAGACTCAATGATTTGGGAAGGTGTCCGTTTAAACTTTCTTTAAAAAGTTGACATTTGTCCTTGCTTAAAATTCTTTTTTATACCAGACAGTAAAACAAGGGCCTTTTGGAGGGGAAGGGACCCTAAGGAAACTAAGTCAAGTATATTACTGAGAGAATTTACCTATTGCCACCCCCTGGAGACAGGGGTAACCATGTGTTTAGAATAAGCCGGTGCTTGTATGGAGCCCACCAGCAGTGCTATTTGCCTCACTCTCATCTAACATTCAGGATGGGTCGTCGTCGTCGTTTTTCAAGTGAGAGAAGCTTATTTATTTCTTATGCAAACAGCCTCAACAATTATTAGAAAGTCTGGTTCTTTAAGGCAGAAACCTTTTGTCAATTCTTGTAATTCAGAAAGCTGAACTGCTACTAAATAGGAAATCACACCTCCCAATTAAATGTTAGTATAAGCAACTGGTAATTTGTAGTATCAGAGAGCAGACAAATAGGAACTGTTAAACTCATTTTTAGTTAGTTGTTTTTAAAATGTACAAGGGGTCTTCAGAAAGTTCATGGGAAAAGTGTATTACAAAAAAAACCTCAACTATGCATGAAGATAAAAAAATGTTTTGGATCCAAATATCCTTATACTAACTTATTATAAAATGTCTGAGCAGAATGTAGTTTGAGGCATTAAGAAGGGAAAAAAACCTATTATAACTTAAGTCTGCTAAACTGAAAGCAAAGAACAAACATTAAATTTATGGTGACCTTTGGGTGAAAGAATGGTGAAATCTCCAGGGCGGATGATCCCTTCAGGACCAGTGGTGTGAGAGGCAATACTGGGAGGGTAGAGGGAGAGTGAGTAGGAAAGAGGGAACCGATTACAAGGATCTGTATGTGACCTCCTCCCTGGGGGATGGACAACAGAAAAGTGGGTGAAGGGAGACGTCGGACAGGGCAAGATATGACAAAATAATAATTTATAAATTATCAAGGGCTCATGAGGGAGGGGGGAGCGGGGAGGGAGGGGATAAAATGAGGACCTGATGTGGGGGGCTTAAGTGGAGAGCAAATGTTTTGAGGACGATGAGGGCAATGAATGTACAAATGTGCTTTACACAATTGATGTATGTATGGACTGTGATAAGAGTCATATGAGTGCCTAATAAAACGATTAAAAAAAAAAAGAATGGTGAAATATTGAGATGGTTGATGATTTAGGGGGGTCAGTGACCCAAAGGAATCTGCATCTTTCAAATGGATAACCCATTTTAAGAAGAGATGGATGATGTTGAATTGAAGATGGAGCCCACAAGGACAGACCATCCACATCAATAAGAAAATAAGGCCTGTGATTAACAGCAGAAACAATAGGCAACACCACAGACAGCTCAATCGGCTCAGCTCACAGACTGTGACGGAAGAGTAAGGCTCAGCAAACCTTCTGCTGGATGGGTGCCACACTGTTGCACCCAGAGCAGCTGCAGACCCGAGCAGAGCTTCAATGAAAAATCTGAACAAATGAGATCAAGACCCTGAAGCATTTGGGGGAAGAATTTTATCAGGAGATGCAACATGGCTCACAGTAGGGTCCTGAAGACCAAAGACAACTGAAGCAGTGACTACTAAGAGGCGGCAGTGGTCCCATCAAGGCAAAACTGGAATAGCCAAGAGCACAAGTGTGGCAATACAGTTTGGGGATGCTCAAGGCATTTGACTTGTTGATGCTGGGCCTCTGGAGGCCCAGAGAAGAATAACTCTGATTATTATGGGAGGGTTTTGAGAAAGTCAGCCAAAAAACACCTGGGGAAGCTTTCCCAGAGGGTCCTTACCACGACAACGCTGCTCACTGCTCTCATCCATCAGGGCAGTTTTGCAAGAGTTTCCATGGGAAATCACTATGCTAGCTTACTAACCATCCTGATCTGGCCCCTTCTGACTTCTTTTTGTTTCCTAATCATAGAAAAATCTCTAAAAGGCACCTTGTTTTAATATACAAATAATAATATACAAAAGGCTGCATGGACATGGCTAATCCCCAGGCCCTCAGGTTTTCAGGGATGCACTCAATAGTTGCTATCATCACTTACAAGAGTCTTGACCTTGATATACCTTATGCTTATAAACAGTTTATAGTTTTTATTTTCCATCTCTGAATCCCACTTTCCATGAACTGTTTAAAGACTCCTCGTATCTTTGCATACATCAGAATAACAGGGCTTTGTTCTCTAAAAGCATTTGTAACAGCAGTAGAATTACAGTGAAAGGATTTAAATCAACCAGAGAATGTAGAAAATTGTTCTCTCGGTCCAATTTTTGGCCAATCCCAGTTTTACACATGCTCAATTCTGAGACGAACAGCATATTATTCTGGTCCAACCCACCCCAGGTTCAGTGTGAACCTGCTTCTCCTGGGGCCGCTGTGGAGAACAGCGGAGCCGGAGAACCGCCTCCCCCACGAGGGCTGTGAGGGCTGCAGGCTGAGGCAGATTTCAAAGGTGAGTGAGCACCTGCGCACTGCTACAGACCCACCTGCCGGGTTTAACCATCTTCTCAGAAACACCTGAAACGTTGGAGAGTTCGTAGGCACAATGTAGTGAGGCCCAAGACAAAGGAAGTGATTTATAAAACAGGGCGTGCATTTTACCAATCATAAAATACCAAAGAGAAAAATGATACCTTCATGATCACCACGGACAAAGTCAGGGACATCAAGAAAGTGAGTTCATAGACTACAAACGTGGGGAAGACATGGAGCCCTGTCAGAAAACAAAGAAGCAATGAGACCCTTGTTTCACGAGTACAATGTCAGGGGTCAGATTTATACTCGTCTGTGTACGTTCCAGTGATAAATGTACAGGCTTTAGCCTGGTCATTATACTTACTTCAATAGAATACATCAATCAAAATTCTAAATTCCGTCTTTAACTTAACTAATCATAAAAACATTTTCTGTGAGCAAATGTTCCTTACCTAGTTTTCCCCCAAATACTCTCCTTTTCCCAGGTTAGCAGAGAAAAGGCTGCCCCCAAAGGATAAATTTAACTTGGTGTCGTACCCTAGCTACGGTTACTTCCGCCAACAGATTTTACCTTCAGAAAAATAAACTCAAGTCTGATGGGCATTACTGTCTCCTTTTCCTTTATGAAATATTCTAGGCAACCTGCAGATAATTCTGAGAACTGATAAACATGAATAGTCACTGCAAAAGAGAGCTAAACAATAGAGCAGCAATAGCCATCACCTACCAATACAATTCGGAAGGCCACTCAAGTGATGACAAAAACCTCATTACTCATAGTAATGTTCACATTTTTTATCCTTTCTGTCGGCCTGATACATTTTGGGTGAAAAAAATAACTGAAAGCATTTTCCCCTGAAATGATTCTCTTTGTTCTAAAATGTTTCTGGGAACCTCGAGTCAATTGTGCCTCACAGAGACTCTGCAGCCCAGGAAGAACTGTCCCTCTGGGTTTCACGGGAGTAGAAAACCTCCTGTCTCCCTCAGAGCAGCTGGCGATTTCAAACTGCTGACCTTCTGGTGGGTGAGCAGCCTAACTCGTAACCATTAGGCCACCAGTGCTCTTGGGAAGCGCACTAGCCCATTAAAAAGCCACAGCGCCACTTTGCCGTGGCTGCCCAGCTCTTTTGTCTTTGCCAGGGTGACAAAGGAACTGTGCTGGCTGGCCAGGATCCGGAGGAGAGAAGGGTCCCGCACTGCTCATCAGGGTGCTAACTGGGCGCTTGCTTGTTCCCTGGGCTACACGTGCCAGGCTGGTTCCAGTTTTCAGTGTGCCTCGAACCGTCTAAGGAAAACATTGGCTATAGACATCCTTTTCCTTCTTTCTGTTTTTAAATAAAAATCTTCACATCCCATATTTAAGACTTTAAACCAGAGTTGTCTCTGTTTTACTCAGAAACACAATGCAAACATTCTCCCCTTTCTACAAAGGTAGACTTTTCTTAACATTCAGACACACTTACCACCCTGGGGATCTTTGATACTCTCACTGATATTCTAGTCATGAATGCACTAGCTTTAGCTCATGTTCTATGAGTTTTTTTCCTATTTTTCTGGCACCACATTCTTAGTCTCCTTGGGCTCCTCTCCCTCCAGGGCCCCCTTTCAATATGTGCACTCGGTAGGGCTCCATCTTTTGTTAAGCTCCACAGCTAACTTCCTTGAACAAAGACCATTCTTTGAACTCCATGAACTGCCCGCATCTCTGTTAGGATGACCTATGGTCCTCACCCTAACAAGTCCTGACTAGACTCCTCCTTCCATTAAACTCTGTGTCCCCTAACCCATGACATGGCACTCCCATTTTCTTTTTGCCTAAGCCAGATTCCTGAGAGTCTGCCTAATGCTCTACATCTAATCACTTATCAAGTTCTGTAGTTGGCTCTTAATAATTCTTGAATACATTCACCTCCTTCCTGTGACCACCCCAATTCAGACATCAATGTTTTTCACTCTTTAAAATGCCATCTACAGTATGAAATTATTTAATTATAATCAAATAGCCATGAATATATAATTGAAGTACATTCAATGAGTAATTTCTACCCTTTCAAATGTGTTTGAAAGGGTGTTTCCTAACCATCCCATTTCATTAAACAAAAAAAAATGCTGGCAGTGACTCACTGACTGGAGCTCATGTTCTCTAACCGGCAGTTTGGGGACTGCTGGTCTCCATGACTTCAGTGGATGTGTGCCTACCTGCTTTCCTGTCCCCAATTGCAGTGCAGTAAGAGCAGAATTTTCTTCCACACACAGATCTGATTATACCAGGGCCTTGCTTAAAATGAAAGTTTCCAATGGATTTCCTCAAAGCTCTCAGGATGAAATCCTTATTTTCTCGTGACTTGGCCTTTATTTGGAGCCTAACTTACTTCTCTTTACTCTAGGCGTCTCTGTTATGATCAGACAGGCCTTGTTATGCCTGGCTCTTATGCCTGGGCTTTGACACGTGCCTTCCTTTCCAGGAGAAGCTGTCCTTCCTTGCCTCTGTACGTGGCTAACTCCTCTCCCCTTCCTTCTCCTCTTCAACTATCAGATGGACTTACTTCTTCAGGGCGCCTTTCCTGACCTCCCCAGATCTTCTACAACACATTTGTATCCTTTGCTTATTAATACTGTGGAATATTTACATGTTTACTCATTTGTCCCCTGCATTGGTCTGTAAACTCCAAGACAGGGGCTGTATTTTCAAATGTCAGAGCCAGGTACTTGCCCCAGCACAACAGTCAGCTTGTCATGAATACATGAGGGTAAGGACTGACTCAATCATACACCGTTGTAGCAAAATCAATAGAATTTTGCTCGAAATAGTTGTTTAATGAACAATTACCAAATAGAATTAAAATCAGTATTTAGAAACATTAGCAAATGGAAGAAGTAACATGAAATCAAAATCCTAATATTTTTATCACCTATTAACTGTATTTGGGGGTGTGTGTGTGTCAATGAACTATAATATAGCCTTTTGTATATATTCATTCTCTAAATAAATATAAAAGATATATTTAATATCACAATGGTAAACTGTATAGACTTGGAGTTAAAATTTTGGACCTATCACTTACTAGTTGTGGATAACAGACAAGTTTTTTCTTTCTTCCTTTTTAAAATAATTTTATTGGGGGCTCATACAACTCCTATCACAATCCATTGGGTCAAGCACATTTGTACACTTTTTGCCATCATCATTTTCAAAACATTTTCTTTCTACTTGAGCCCTTGGTTTCAGCTCATTTTTTTTCCTTCCTTCCCCACCCTCCCTCCCTCACGAACCCTTGATAATTTATAAATTATTATTATTTTTTCATGTCTTACACTGACCAATGTCTCCCTTCACCCACTTTTCTGTTGTCCAGAAGGTAGATGAGTGTTAACATGAATAGAGAAGGTAATGGACAGTAAGAGGGAGGTTGGTAAAAACTTATGGAGGGGGGGGAAGACATGGGAGGTTTGCAAGCATTAATGGCAATAGAGGCAAAGACTGCTATACACACAATCTTGCAATAGTGGTGATTCACAAGGAGATGCTTGGATAGACCTGCAGACTGAATGGGTGTGGGAGGGAGAAGTGGGAGTGTACCACCAATATATATATATGCAAAGGTTATTAGTGTATGTTTATTTATCTTTGCTGCAAATTTACCAGTGAATGGGTGTGGGAGAGAGAAGTGGGAGTGTGTATATATAATATACATATATACACACACACATACATATATATATATATATATGCAAAGGTTATTAGTGTATGTTTATTTACCTTTGCTGCAAATTTACCAGTGAATGTGGTAGAGGAAAGTTAGGAAGTTTTCTTATCCGTAACCAAATACCTTGAGAGAGAGGGGTAACTGGGTCTGGAAGATCAGGATTACAGTGTTAGGAGACACTACGATCGACTGGCATAACATAGTTCACATCCTCCATTCTACTTTGATGAGTCATGACTGGGGTCCTAAAAGTTTGTGAACAGCCATCCACGGTGCAACTACTGGTCTTTCTCCATACCGAGGAAAGAAGAATGATAAAAATCAAAAGACGCATGTAAAAAATTACCGTAGTTCAATGGATTAACGGACCTCGCAATTATCTGTCTCCATAACCTTGAGCCCAGAAGAACCAGATGGTGCCTGGATATCACTATCAACTGCTCTGAAAAGGATAACATTTAACGGTTCTGGATAGAGTGGGAGGAAAATGCTGAACAGAACCCACGTTCTTGAAAGAGACTAAGCTTACTAGTTATATAGAGATGGATGGAAACCCCAAGACTATGGCCTTTAGTCACCTTTCAAGTCTGGAATGGAACTCACCCCCGCGTTAAAATAATCAACCATTGAAATCAAATCAGGACAAAGTCCAGAGGGTTAGGAAACAGGGAAGATGTAAGATAAGTTACAGTACATAGAAAGGACTGCAATGGATCGACAAAAGGTACACGCACTGCTGAATAGACAGCTGGTGGTCTGATCTGCAATCCCTCACCTAATTCACAATAAAAAGTTTTTAAAAACAAAAGAGGAATAATGCATAATAAGCATAATGATGCCATAGGCCATAGCTTGGTAACCCCTGGTGTGGTAGAAAGAACTACCCTGTAATGGGTGTTAATGTCTTTTTCAAATTCTACCATAATCATTTACAGTCTGCATTGACTTAGATCCATTCTTGAGTGTTGATATCCACGTTTGAAATAACAGATCGTGCAAACTACTTTGAAATGTTTGTGTGACATGTGAATGGGATAACATGTTTCTAATGGGGCCCAGTATCATGCTGCTACATTATCTTACTAAATAGATGCTATTCATTTGTGCCTTGCTATCTTTATCAAAGTGTACGGCTGAGGCAGCTGTGAACAAAAAGATTCTATCCATGGCCAACTAAGAAAGTAACCTAATTATATACAAGCTTCTTAGTTGGCAGAGAAATTAACTTGAATTCCTTTTGATAAACTGAGTGTGTGAAGAGACAAAGCAAAAACTTACAGCCCTATGATTTTATTAGAAAACATGGCTCTTAATATATCAGGAATTTGAACTTGGCTGGTACAAAACCAAATATGTGTACTTGAAGTAATATACTTATGGTATTTTAAGTTCTTAATAAGAGCAACTTTGAAGCATACATAGGTTCAATGAGATCTTAGCAGGCAGTACTCGTTAAAATGACCCAAGAGTAATCTTAGGAATGTAATGCATGACTGGAATGTAGTTTTAAAAAGAATTAAGTTAAAATCTAATCAATTTCATTAGACCTAGTTTTTAGAAGACCTGAAAAAAGAGAGGGTAAATCGTCAACTTGGAATGGGAGCAAGAGAAGGGTCAAGTTTATTTAGCACTTTGAGGAGGTGTCCCCAGTTGTGAAGGCTGGGGTTGTAGGAGAAGAAAGCAGCAGAAAAGAGGGGCTCAGGGGAGAAGCCCGGAAGGAAAAGAGCGGGTCAGAGAAAGAAAGGAAAGCAGAAAGGGGAGACAGAGACAGGCTAAATATCAGCAAAGGGGTACTCTAATGGGTGTTAGAGTGGGCCCTTCTCCCTCTGCTCTATTTCCTTGTGCAGCAAACCAGCTCATGAAACAGTTTTACTTCACTGTTAATAAAGCACATGGGCTACTACTGCTGAAGACAAAGCTGGTGCATAAGCAAACGTAGTGAAGAAAGCTGATGGTGCCCGGCTATCAAAAGACATAGAGTCTGGGGCTTAAAAGCTTGAAGGTAAACAAGCGGCCATCTAGCTCAGAAGCAGCAAAGCCCACATGGAAGAAGCACATCGGCCTGTGAGATCACGAGGTGCCGAAGGGATCAGCTACCAGGTATCAAAGAACAAAAAATCAAATCACTGTGAATGAGGGGGAGCGCAGGTTGGGGATCCAAGATCTATCTATAGGCAACTAATCCCCATACAGACAAGCCAGTCAGGGTGCAATGTAGTAATGATGAAACAAACAACTTTCCTCTAGTTCCTAAATCTTCCCCGCCTCCCAATATCATGATCTCAATTCTACCTTACAAAGCTGGCTAGACCAGAGGATATACACTGGTACAGATAGGAACTGGAAACATAGGGAATCCAGGACAGAAGATCCCTTTAGGACCAGTGCTGAGTGGCAATACTGGGAGGGTGGAGGGAGGGTGGGGTGGAAAGGGGGAACCGATTATAAGGATCTACATATAACCTCTTCCCTGGGGGATGGACAAGAGAAAAGTGGGTGAAGGGAGATGTTGGACAGTGTAAGATATGACAAAATAATAATAATTTATAAATTATCAAGGGTTCATGAGGGAAAAGGGGGGCGGGAATGGGGGGGGAAAAATGAGAAGCTAATACCAAGGGCTCAAGTAGAAAGCAAATGTTTTGAGAATGATGATGGCAACAAATGTACAAATGTGTTTGAAACATGGATGGATGTATGGATTGTGATAAGAGTTGTATGAGCCTCCAATAAAATGATTAAAAAATTAAAATAAAATAAAAAATAAAGTGCACGAGCATTCCAACTCTTTCAGGATTGCTTTAGCTATTCATGGCCTTTAGCATTTCCATTTAACTTTTAAAAATCAGCTTTCTAATTCTTAAACATCTCATTGGGAATGCACTGGATCTGTAGAGGAGTATGCTGTTTGAGATATCCAAGCAATAAAAGCCACTGGGAGGTAATGGATGTACTCTAATATATAAGAACCTTGTGACTTCATTTCTATGTGCCATGTTGACAAAATAAAAAATCTGGGCACCCTGTCTCAGACACAGTGAATAATTAATTTCTGTATCCAAATGAAGACATTGTCCCCGAAACTTACCATTTGGTTCAACAATCACTAACAAAATCTATCTTCTGTGAAGACACATGTGATTCATAATGTTAAAAGATGAATCTTTTATTTAAGATATTCGGAATGATCTTTAATGGCTACTTATATCACATATTCCTAATGCTAACAAAGTATGATAAGCAACTGACTAACTAATGTCCCTTAAAGCCTAACTAAATTGGTTACCATCAAATGGATTCTAACTCACAGTGACCTTATCTAGGGCTTCTAAGGCTGTAAATCTCTACACTAGCAGACAGCCTTATCATTCTCCAGTGGAGCAGCTGCTGGGTTTGAACCACTGACCAGCTAACCCAATGTTTACCTAACAGTGCCACCAAGCCTCTAATATCATGTAGTGTGTATTTCTTCCTCTTTTTAAATAAAATTTCTTCTAAGGCTATAGAAACAAGTTGTTGACTACTACTAGCAATTCAAATTAAAATGAATGGAACAAAGTTGATTTTTATGGGAACTGTTTTTACTGTATATAATATAAATATCAAATACAAACACATTACAAAATGGATATAATTAACAAACACAATGTGAAAAATAGGATAAAAAGAAAAAGATTACCTATTGATGCAAAGAAAATGATAGCCAGAAAATCACGGATGGGTTCCAGGTAAGACATGACCTCTTCAGTAACCATGTGGCCTTGGGAAGATATCAGTGCTCCAGCCAGGAAACAGCCGAGCTCCATGGAAACATCTAATAGCTCTGTGATCTGAGAAGGAGCGGATGGATTAAACTTTATACCATAAAACATGCAGTGCTACCTTATTTATCAACATCGTCCATTTGACGTGAGATTTGCAACCAGAGATATTCTTTTAGGTCTGGTGGAAGCATCACATTAAAACAGTGAAAAACACAAAAAACAAAACAAGAACCCCAAACCTAGAAAAGAAAAAAGCACTAAGAAGATGTTATATACAACCAGGGAAGTCCCTACTAGGGTCTGCTGTTATGAAGCTGGGAGAGGTGATATATGGCAGCTACTGTTAGTTGAAGTAACCATACAGGAAAGAAAAAATAATTTTACAAACTTGAAATACTGCTCTTGTAGATTATGATAAATTTTTTTAAATGAATATTTTCTAAATTTTATTTCAAATATGATCTTTCATGTTTTATTTAACATTTTATATACACATATTTATACATGAATAAATAAGTACAATATATACTTCTTTATCCTTGAATGAATGAACAGCCTGGTTGTGGCATTAAAAAATGTACTACAGATAAAGCCATTCCTGGGGTGTGCTGGAATGACCCTGGGGGGGGACCTCCAAAAGCAGATACTAACACTTTATCCTGGATTATGGACTACAGCACAAAAGAAATTTTTTAATTGCCAGGGGGGCACTGAGTAATTTTTTTCTTTGTGAAAAGGGGGAGGTAGGCCAAATGTGATTGGGGAACCTGTGGTTTTGAAACCATAAGAGCATCAAGATCTAGAAATTACTAATTTTAATAACTATGTGAGCTATAGTAGCTAGCAGCAACAGTTATTAGAGTATTAACTATAAATTTGTTAAATGCAAGGTTTAAGATGGACACCTTGATGAGACATTATAAATATAAACAACTTGAAAGAAGTATATACGTAGAGATGCTTTGTTTTCTGAGAAAATGAACAGAGAAGACAGCAACAACAGACAGACACGAAGGGGACTTTTGAAAAGATACCATTTGTAACTACATCAACAAACACCAAACACCTAGAAATAAAAATAACAAAAGAAGTACTATCAAACACTGCTGAGGAACATTAAAGAAGAACTAAATAGAATAATCTACCATGTTCATAGATTTAAAAACCCAGTGTCACCCTATATCAATTCTCCCCCAATTGATTGATAAAGTCCTGGCAATTTCAATGAAACGTGTGTGTGTGTGTGTGTGTGTGTGTGTGAGAGAGAGAGAGAGAGAGAGAGAGAGAGAGAGAAAATTGACAAACTGAACCTAAAATGTATACAGAAATGGGAATGGGAAAGATCATGATTGGCTAACACAATTTGGAAAGAGGACAAAGTTGGGCACTTGTACTATCAGATGCCAAGTTATGGTGTAGTGCAAGATTAGGTAATAGATCAAATCTCTTCAACAAATGATGCTGGAAGATGCACAAAGAATATCTATTTTGTCCACCTCATATATTGCATTAAAATAATTTACAGACAGATTTTAGATCCTAATGAGAAAAATAAAAACAATAAAGCTCCTAGAAGACAGCACAGAGCAGCGGCTCTCAACCTTCCTAATGCTGACCCTTTAATACAGTTCCTGGTGTTGTGGTGACCCCCAACCATTAATTTATTTTTGTTGTTACTTCATCACTGTAATTTTGCTACTGTTATAAATCAGGCAACCCCTGTGAAGGAGTCATCCAACCCCCAAATGGGTCACGACCCATAGGTTGAGAACCACTGGCATAAAGCATCTTCATGGCTCAGAATATAAAAAGTGCTAACCCTAAAGAAAATGATTGATAACAGAACAACATTACAATTTAGAACTTTCGCTCATTGAGAGTGAAAAGGCAAGTCACACATTAGAAGATATTAGCAAACATTTATCTGACCAGGAATACCATTCAACCTTGAAAAGGAGTGGATTATGGATGCATGCTACAACACGGATAAACCCTGAAAATATGCTACATAAAAGCAGCCAGATACACACGCAAAAGATCTCAAACGGTATGGTTCCACTTATATGAAAGGTCCAGAACAGGAAGATCAGGAACAAAAAATATAATGGAGGAGAGATACTGGGAGAGCTGAAATTTCAGTTGGGGCCACAGAAATGTTCTGAAACTGGATAGTGATGATGTTGGAGTAGCATTGTGAATATGCTACTATATGTATTATTTTTACTGTTTTGTATAAGGTTGCCATGATTGCATTGTAATGATCCCCTTTGCTTTTAAGACAGTTTTATTGACATATAATTCACATAACATTCAATAGTGCAATTATATTAAAATGTTATACAATCACCACCACAATCTTCTTTCTTGTACTCAAAGTTATCAGCTTCCCATTCCTTCCCAACCTTCCCTGCCATACCCCTAAGAAATCATTAATCCAGTTATTGCCGCTATAGATTTTCCTATACTGGATTTCATATACATAAAAACATATAAGAAACCCCCAAGACAAAATAGACAGTTTTAAGTACAAAAAGCAAGCCATGAAACTGTGACGCTATAAGCAGTTATGTAAACTAAAAAACTAAACCCATTGTTGTGGAATTGATTACGAAGTGGTTAACAATACTTACATAGAACCCAAGGGGAGAATATGCCTGGGACTATGTTCCTATGTTCCTAAACTTTTGACTTAGTTTCTGTCCATACTTCAGTGACCCAGGCCGTGTGCTATAGACTTCCGTTGGGACTTCAGATTCTGTCCTTTCGAGATACACAGCAACCTTCACAGGCCACATCAGAAGGATGTAATATGGTAACTCCACCAAGCCAACGGCTTTACCTCAAATTCCCTTGTAGCAGAAACACTCTAGTGTGAGAAGCAGCAGATGACCACTGTCCCAAGGTTATGGAATTGGTGGCCATGGGACTTTGGTTCACATCTCTTGCTTTGAGGGCACCCAGTGACTGGTGGCCTGGGACTACCATATATTTACTATTCTAACGCCCCGCCCTTGCTTTCTTGACATGAATCAGTCTGGTTGGCATGGTTCTGCCTTTGTGAGTGAGTGCTATAGAGCATTTTTGCCCTATCCCTAACCTCTGTTGCTCACAAATACTAGTTAGTCACTTAAGACTTTAATCTGTACAAGTCAACAATTCACATATTGTAGGCTGAAAAGCCAGTCTATACTTGGACAATTTCCTTTTCTCAACAGTATATTAAATTCTAAACCATTGGCTAAATTAATGACACTATTAATAGAATTAGCATATGTCTCAGGAGGATAATTTATAATATTCGCTATCATAAAATGATTATGTATCTAAAGTGAAATTGGCTGAATTAATGACACTATCAATAGAATTACCATATGTTTCAGGAGAGTGATTTATAATGTTCTCTATCATAAAATGATAATGATAGCTCTAAAGTGAACCAGAGACAAATAGAAACCGTAAATATATGAATAGATTTGGGGCTCACACTTAATTCTAGCCCCAATCTAAGACCCATCCGTTCTTATGACACAGCCCTACTCAATGCTTGCCTGCATGAAGAGATCCCTGAAGATATGGTGCTGTAGCAAAGTGTGGTGAAGAAAACGGCTGGTGCCCAGCTATCAGAAAGAATAGTGTCTTGGGTCTTAAACAAGCAGCCAACTAAGTGAGGTGTCCACTAAGACCACATGAAAGAAGTATATTGGCCTGATATAAGGATTGTAAATAATAAAATCTAAATCCGAAGGAGGGAATGGTATCAGAGATTAAATTATAAACACCCAGTTTGCAGAAGGGTATGGATCATAGTGGAAGCCCCAAATCTATTTGCAGGTTTGACACCTACATTAAACTTCCAGTGAATCCCTTCTGATCACAGGCCAGGTATGTGAATAACCTTGTTATCGGTTACAGAGCATTGCAAAGTCACTTGTGGCAAATGTAGTTACATTAAATGCAATACCTTGTCATTTGATCTCTTTTTTGACCCATTTTTAAGTAGTTTCAGTTTTTAATATTTTCTGCTACCTTTTCTATTGAGGTGTTGTTTTTTTTCTCGCTTTTGTCTAGTCAATGTTGTGGGGTTTGTTGTTAGCTTCTTTGTTTTGCATGGTTTTGTGTATATGAAACCCAGGATGGGTTAACCTATAGAGACGGTAATTGGGTTAATAATTAATTAGGAGAATCATAAGGAGGATGGGGATGGGGGTGGGAGTCAGAAACTAACAATGAATACAGAAGAAAATGCTCTGAAATTGAGTGTGGTGATGATGGCATAATTCTTAATATGATCAAACAATAAAATGATATGATATATTTAGCATATACTAATAAAATTATTTTTTTTAAAGATTCACAGCTGGAATCATCTTCATCATTCCATGGAAGAAAGGCAATAGCAATTTGCTTCCATAAAGATAAAAACCCCAAACGAAACACACTCCTCCATGGAGAAATTCTGCTGTGTGACACCACTAACTGCATTTTACATTGGCTAAAATGGTAAATTTTATGTCACAGATTATATCTGTTTTTAAAAAGGTGGCAAATCATTTACCCAGACTACATCTGCATACAATATATTACTACAAATCAGTTATGAGACAGAAAAAAGTCAGTCTAATAGAAATAGTTTGAACTTTTAATAAGCTCATCCCCAAAGAGGATCTCCAAATGGCTTATAAGTATATGAAAAAGTACTTTAAATCATTAGTTATTAGAAAAAAAAAGAAATTCCAATGAGCTGCCACTACCACTCACCAAATGGTTATCAATTAAAAAGACTGATAATACCAAATGTTGGTGAAGATATGGAAAAAGTGAGCTCTCTGAGATAGTTAATTTTGCCAACACACGTGGGGTTAATTGAAGGGCAGAGGGATAAATGGCTCGGTGAACCTCACCTTTCTAGTTCTCTGGTCTCTTGCTTTGTGATGGTTGGACCAGGGTGCAGCTGCCTTAGCAGTTCTCTGCTTCGGCTGGCTGACTTCCTGCAAGACATCCCTGAGGAGAAGCCACATGAACCTACCCAGATGCAGCCCTGGGTGCTGGAGCACCCATGTGGAGAC